ACAAATATGATGTAAATAAAGTAGCAAATATTATAAATAAATTTTAATGAAAACCAGATTTTTGAAATTTAAAACCTCAAACCTTAATTTTGAAATGGTGATACTTAAAAACTTGATTTATATATTGTTCCCTTTTTTCAAATGAAAAAAATTCTTCATGTGGGCTTTAGAGGGCTAGGCCCTTTCTCTTTGATGGGCCAGACAGGCTCTGTTCAGTTCAGAAATGGACAATATCGGCATTAAGTTGATTCCCAGCCCAATAAAATCCTGTATCCAAACTAGACATTGACCAGGCTAAGTTAATGGATCACTTGTTAAATCGAAGTATCGATGTTTATACACAAATATTTTGTGGAGATAATGCGTTTTTTTGGTTGATGTAATGGAGAATATGTGGTTGAAAAAGAAGGAAAAATTATTGATGTGGTGGAAAATATTATTTTATTGAAGAGTGTATGTTTGAAAATGAGTAGAAAAATGAGAATGAAAAATATAATGTGGCTCAAATAGAAATTGATATTATACTTGAAATGTGTTCATATACACTATAGTTGCTCAAATTTAACAATTCTTCCTAATTGTTGGAGGCAAGACTCGAACACAAATCCTTTGTTCGGCTCCAACAGCAAATTAAGTGAGCATAGGATCTACTGTAGAGAGTAAAGAAAATTTTCGATGCAAGTCTATATATTAAGATGAATTTTAATCCAACATATAAATTGATAATTAACAACAAACTAATCAATACATTTGGCATCAGCTTACTTGCAACTTCTAAATTACGCATTTGACCTACCCAAGATGTGTAGGTCCCGTTTCACATGGTTTTTAAAACGTCAAAAGTTGTTTTTGAGTCTAAGAAGTTACTTTTAAACATGTTTTCAATAATATTCTGAAAATTACTTTACCAGAGTTTTTAAAGTTTTCTTAGGAAACATTTCTACAAGAAACAAAACCTTGCCAAACGAACCCTTACAAATGGTGAAAGTTTGTTTCTTTTGAGTTTGTGTTGATAGAAATAAGAAAATAGTGAAGTCGAAATTAAATTTATTGAAAATGCAAAGTGCTATTTAAACGGTCAAGTGTCATTTTGTTACAAGGAGTACTTAGATCCATTCTGTTTTTATCCGGTGCAATTTTCATGTCTTGTTCATTTTGAAAAATATATATCAAAACCAAATTTCCTACCCACCAACACATTAAAGTCACAAGCTATATATTGAAAAATATATACCAATACCAAATTTCAAACCAACCATTGAAATATGTAATTTATTAAAACTCACAAACTTCATGACTAACACACCAACACAAAGATTCATATTAATCAAACTACAATCTCATTCAATAACTACAACTCCTACGAAATAGTTTTTCAACACAAAGATCCGTCAGAAGTATCTCCACTATTCTGCCCACTTTCATATCCATCTGCTTCGATCACTTTCATCACTTTCATCCACATCGATCTTCTCCTACAATTCAACATAAAAATCTAAAATGTTAGTACACATTTGTAGACAGACTTGGTTGAATATGAATGATTCACTTTGCATCAAGACAAGGCGAAATAATGAAGAGAGTTCAAGGAGAAAATTTTATGTAACATTTTGAAAACAACGCCCAAAATTCAACAATTTTTGAAAATATTAAACCGTACTAAGGATTGAAATTCAGTCACAGTTTTCGGGAGATTAGCAGTAATTCTGTTGCAGCTACATAATGATTGAAATTTATTTATTTTCGGAAGAGAAGAGGGTGAAGTGTTTTATAGGGAAGCATAATTCGCGTGCTTTAGAAATGAATAAAGAACTTTTTGACCAATTATGTTAGTTAAGGGTTTTAAGATCTTTTTAACCATTTTAGAAAGTACATTAAAGGCCTTTAAAAATTAAACTTAAAACGAGAACTTCTTTCAACTCAAAATATTGTTATTTAAACTCCGATGCCCCAAACTTTATTATCAATGTGAAAAACTATCTGCGAAAAAATAAAAATAAAAAAAAAATCTGATAAGAGCAGACACTCTTAAACAAAAATCATACCTTTTTAGAACTTCCAAACTCTCTACCTTAATGTGGGGAATGTGAGATATCTTGTCCCATTCGTCTCCAGTCCTGTCCCCGTAAAGCGAAGCTAGACATGAGGAATTCTCGACAGTCAAATACTCCAGAGTACGAAGGAGGCAATGTGGCAATGCCTTTAACTCGCCGCAACCAATGATTTCCAACTCCCTGAGACATGGCATTATTAAGAGATGGTCTTTTTCATCCCCAGTTATATCCTCCCACTTTTCCCACTTGAAACAATCTCTAAAAACCAATTTCCTCAACTTGGGGAATGCAGGTCCCGCATTCGGTTCCATTATTCCCAAGAATTCATTGCCCACGTATTTCATGCTACGCATCGATAATATCTTAAGCTCCTCAAGCATTGGCAGTTTTCCCAACGGGGGCAAAGATGAGAAGTTGTCAAATAATGAGAAATTAAGCACCCTTAAATAGTTAAGGGATGTGGTGATCCATTCTGGCAATTGGGTGCCCTTGTATCCACTCATTCCTAAATAATGCAGGTTTGGAGGTGGTTGAAGAGCCTCCATTATGTCAACCCTCACCTCCCCAGAAAAAAAGAATCTCAACTCTTGAATGTATATCTTATTTTTCAATTCTGCATTCTCAGCGTCAACCAAGTCTTCTAACTCTGTCAAGTCTCCTAGAAAAAGTTGTAGAGATCCTCGAAGTTGGTTTAGTTTTCTCAAATATCCCAACTTCCTCGATCCTCTTCCTGCAATTAAACCGCTCAAAATCCAAAGACAGGTTAATCTCTCCACTCCTTGAGGAATTGAAATCTTACCACAACGGATTGGAAAGAGAAGGTGTCGTAGATTTATTAGTATATAAATCCCTTNCAATTAAACCGCTCAAAATCCAAAGACCGGTTAATCTCTCCACTCCTTGAGGAATTGAAATCATACACAGACCTATTGGAAAGAGAAGGTGTCTTAGATTTATTAGTTTATAGATCCCTTGAGGGAGTGCAGAGAGATCGTCACATTCTCGGAGATCCAAGGTTTGCAAATTATACAAATCACACAAGATTTCTGGGAGTTCTCTTATAGGATTGGAGCTCAAGTCAAGATACCTCAAGTGAATTAATTTTCCTATCTCTTGTGGAATTTCATGCAAGCCGCAATTGCTCGCAATAAGTACCCGAACACATTTTAAACGGCTAAAGAGATTTGAAGGGAGACGTTCTTGAGAAACATTTCTAGCACAAAAGGTGCGAACTTTTCCGATATCACAATTCGTAATCTCTACTCCATCATACAAGATTTCGCTGTACTCGTCTTTTGAGAGATAAGTAACGAAGTCATGCATTATATCATGCATTTTGCAAAAGAGGTTACTTTCATTGTATTCATCCTTTTTCAACTCTTGAAAGAAATTTCGCATTTCTAGGTTCTTAAAGATATCTAACCCCATCCTTTGCATGCGATCTACATCTCCACTCGAACCAAGATAACCACGTGCCATCCAGAGCCTGATAAGCTCATCCAAACGTATCAAGGTATCTTTTGGATAGATGACACAACTAGAGAAGCAGCGCTTATGTACTGGAGACAAATCATTGTAACTCAAATACAAAGGAGGGAAAAGCTCAACCTTGGCTTCCTCCAACTGCCACAAAGGACTCTCCAGAACATTTCGCCACTCTTCTACAGTATCTTTGAAGCATAGCGTGCTTCCCATAGTTTTTGCAGCAAGTGGCAACCCCTTGCATTTCAGCGCAATCTTTTTACCAATATCTTCTAGTTTCTCGCGCTCCTCCTTACTTTTTCCACCAAAAGCTATCTCACTCAATAATGACCAGCACTCATCATGGGATAGTTCGCCCAATGGTTGCTGTTTGTCCGTGCTTATCGCTCTTGCAACCCGTTTGCTCCTTGTTGTCACCAAAATTCTACTTCCGGGGGCACCCTGGAGAGAGTTTTTCAGGGGTTCCCACCTCCTGCGGTCCTCAGTCGACACATTATCTAGGACAATAAGAAATCTTTTGTTTGAAACTGAGTCTTTCACACGTTGTAAGAACATTTCCAATTCCCAGGTGGAGGAATCCTCCTTAACGGGCCCAAGAATTGATTTTGCAATCTTCTTCTCGTCAAAAGGATCCGAAACCCAAATCCATTTTTTTAATTCAAAATGTTCCTTAACTTCAGGATCGTTAAAGGCTAATTGAGCAAGAGTTGTTTTCCCAACCCCTCCCGTCCCTACTATCGAAACAATCTCGACTCCACTGTCCCCCTTTGACAACAAATTGTGCATAAGGTTATCCTTATCAATACTTCGACCATGTACACTTGCAGAATCAACAAAAGAAGTCGATTCAATTGGATTGAAATCCTGCAAATCGTGGCCACCACTTGTAAGAAAACCAAACTCAACTTTTCCCTCAACAATCAAATCTAGTTTCCCGATCAAACCCTTTATATTCAGATTAATTTCACGACGTCCAACAACATGTTCGAAGCATAAACAAATAGATTGAATAAACGAAATTATCTTCTCCCAAGGATCAGAAATTTCCTCAGATCCTT